CGTGGGGTGCCAGGCGGGAGCTGGTCTGCAAGGGAAGCCAGTTTAAAAACCAGCCCCTCTCGCAGACCAGCTGCCTGTCACCCTGCGCTGCTGCTTCCAATAAGGAGACAGAAGTGCAGGGCGGCATCAGCCCCGTCTGGGGGCTGGGAGGGAAACACGTGTAGTCTGCGGCATTAACCTATAAGCTTTTGCTAATCGGTTAATCGCCCACAGTTACATCCCCGCTTCAGCTTCCCTACATAAGTTCTTTGCGCGCACTCCGGAGAACTCACTGAGCTAGCGATTCACAAGGCTTGTTATTCTGGAAGTTTGAGCAGTTCTGAGGCCCAAGTAAGGATCTGGATGGGCACTGAGGGCCAGTGCCTCAGAGGTGGGCTGCCGAAATACGAAAACTTACAAATCTCGTTAATCTTCATCGGAAGCACAATTTCCCTCCCCGCCGCATGCTGGGTTCCTGCAGCACGTCAGGACTTCTCCTAACAAACCCAGCAGGACACACATTGGTGACGCCTGTTCCAGTCACTCCTCTAGCAGCTGGAAACAGCCGCCCCCCAAAGCAGAACAAACCCTTCCACACCACAAATCCAATGTCCAGCGGTCGGCAAAGGGGAGGAAGAGGCAGGTGGTGACAGAAAACCGCAGGTTAAATCCAAAGAGCTGACCCAAGTCACGCCTCCCTCGCCAGTCCAACGCTCACTCGGGGACTCACCTCTGCTTTGGCCCAGAAGCTATCTTTGCCGACCCTCTTGATTTCAGACATGGCGTTTGTCTTCTGGTAGACAGAGCCCTGGAAGTGGCCAAGAGAAGCACGCAGCTGAGACAATATATAACCAGGATCTAGCCGTCAGAAAATTGCAGCAGACTGCCAGCGCAGCACATCGTCTCCCAGGTTCCCCTCCCAGGAGGCTGCACCTACAAGCGTTCTGTGGGGCTCCAGGGGCTCTCCAAATTCCCTCAGCACTGGAGGGGCCCTGGAAAGGGAAATCCAGGGGAATGTGGATGACTCCACGTGAGCCAGACCCTGAAACCGGGCCTAGAGAGACAGGAAGTTGCAATCTGAGCGCTGCATTTTAGAGCCAGATAAAACCGGCAGGGCGAAGGAGGGAAATTACCCGAAAGGAAAACAGACAGAGGGTAAATATCTGGATAGTGGAAGAATCAGTCCCCCGCCCACCACCGTGTGGCAGAAGCTAAGGAACTGAGAGCTCCTCACAGCGTCGGCAGAGGTCTCCATGAAGAAGAGGAAGGCAGAGAGGCACGTGCAGCTGAGAAAGTAGCACCAAGAAGCAGGGGATGCGGAAGATCAAGAGTGCCACTCA